GTGTTTTCTTGTACTTTTAAGCCAATCAGATACCCTACGGGCTCGGAAAGTGCAACGAAACCATCAAATTTTAGCTAGAAACTGTATTTTTGTCGATTTTTATTGAATTTGAACTAAATTTCAACGTTTTTTGATGGTTCTGAGCCACCAAACACACTTAAAGCATGCAGAATCGACTCAGAATAGGAAAAGGAGACGTTTAGGTCAATTTTATGCATTCTGGCGTTCGTAGATACAAGAAAACTGTTAAAATTCTTCAGAAACGTCACTTTTGAAGTGTTTTCTTGTACTTTTAAGCCAATCAGATACCCTACGGGCTCGGAAAGTGCAACGAAACCATGAAATTTTAGCTAGAAACTGTATTTTTGTCGATTTTTATTGAATTTGAACTATATTTCAACGTTTTTTGATGGTTCTGAGCCACCAAACACACTTAAAGCATGCAGAATCGACTAAGAATAGGAAAAGGAGACGTTTAGGTCAATTTTATGCATTCTGGCGTTCGTAGATACAAGAAAACTGTTAAAATTCTTCAGAAACGTCACTTTTGAAGTGTTTTCTTGTACTTTTAAGCCAATCAGATACCCTACGGGCTCGGAAAGTGCAACGAAACCATCAAATTTTAGCTAGAAACTGTATTTTTGTCGATTTTTATTGAATTTGAACTATATTTCAACGTTTTTTGATGGTTCTGAGCCACCAAACACACTTAAAGCATGCAGAATCGACTCAGAATAGGAAAAGGAGACGTTTAGGTCAATTTTATGCATTCTGGCGTTCGTAGATACAAGAAAACTGTTAAAATTCTTCAGAAACGTCACTTTTGAAGTGTTTTCTTGTACTTTTAAGCCAATCAGATACCCAACGGGCTCGGAAAGTGCAACGAAACCATCAAATTTTAGCTAGAAACTGTATTTTTGTCGATTTTTATTGAATTTGAACTATATTTCAACGTTTTTTGATGGTTCTGAGCCACCAAGCACACTTAAAGCATGCAGAATCGACTCAGAATAGGAAAAGGAGACGTTTAGGTCAATTTTATGCATTCTGGCGTTCATAGATACAAGAAAACTGTTAAAATTCTTCAGAAACGTCACTTTTGAAGTGTTTTCTTGTACTTTTAAGCCAATCAGATACCCTACGGGCTCGGAAAGTGCAACGAAACCATCAAATTTTAGCTAGAAACTGTATTTTTGTCGATTTTTATTGAATTTGAACTATATTTTAACGTTTTTTGATGGTTCTGAGCCACCAAACACACTTAAAGCATGCAGAATCGACTCAGAATAGGAAAAGGAGACGTTTAGGTCAATTTTATGCATTCTGGCGTTCGTAGATACAAGAAAACTGTTAAAATTCTTCAGAAACGTCACTTTTGAAGTGTTTTCTTGTACTTTTAAGCCAATCAGATACCCTACGCGCTCGGAAAGTGCAACGAAACCATCAAATTTTAGCTAGAAACTGTATTTTTGTCGATTTTTATTGAATTTGAACTATATTTCAACGTTTTTTGATGGTTCTGAGCCACCAAACACACTTAAAGCATGCAGAATCGACTCAGAATAGGAAAAGGAGACGTTTAGGTCAATTTTATGCATTCTGGCGTTCGTAGATACAAGAAAACTGTTAAAATTCTTCAGAAACGTCACTTTTGAAGTGTTTTCTTGTACTTTTAAGCCAATCAGATACCCTACGGGCTCGGAAAGTGCAACGAAACCATCAAATTTTAGCTAGAAACTGTATTTTTGTCGATTTTTATTGAATTTGAACTATATTTCAATGTTTTTTGATGGTTCTGAGCCACCAAACACACTTAAAGCATGCAGAATCGACTCAGAATAGGAAAAGGAGACGTTTAGGTCAATTTTATGCATTCTGGCGTTCGTAGATACAAGAAAACTGTTAAAATTCTTCAGAAACGTCACTTTTGAAGTGTTTTCTTGTACTTTTAAGCCAATCAGATACCCTACGGGCTCGGAAAGTGCAACGAAACCATCAAATTTTAGCTAGAAACTGTATCTTTGTCGATTTTTATTGAATTTGAACTATATTTCAACGTTTTTTGATGGTTCTGAGCCACCAAACACACTTAAAGCATGCAGAATCGACTCAGAATAGGAAAAGGAGACGTTTAGGTCAATTTTATGCATTCTGGCGTTCGTAGATACAAGAAAACTGTTAAAATTCTTCAGAAACGTCACTTTTGAAGTGTTTTCTTGTACTTTTAAGCCAATCAGATACCCAACGGGCTCGGAAAGTGCAACGAAACCATCAAATTTTAGCTAGAAACTTTATTTTTGTCGATTTTTATTGAATTTGAACTATATTTCAACGTTTTTTGATGGTTCTGAGCCACCAAACACACTTAAAGCATGCAGAATCGACTCAGAATAGGAAAAGGAGACGTTTAGGTCAATTTTATGCATTCTGGCGTTCGTAGATACAAGAAAACTGTTAAAATTCTTCAGAAACGTCACTTTTGAAGTGTTTTCTTGTACTTTTAAGCCAATCAGATATCCTACGGGCTCGGAAAGTGCAACGAAACCATCAAATTTGAGCTAGAAACTGTATTTTTGTCGATTTTTATTGAATTTGAACTATATTTCAACGTTTTTTGATGGTTCTGAGCCACCAAACACACTTAAAGCATGCAGAATCGACTCAGAATAGGAAAAGGAGACGTTTAGGTCAATTTTATGCATTCTGGCGTTCGTAGATACAAGAAAACTGTTAAAATTCTTCAGAAACGTCACTTTTGAAGTGTTTTCTTGTACTTTTAAGCCAATCAGATACCCTACGGGCTCGGAAAGTGCAACGAAACCATCAAATTTTAGCTAGAAACTGTATTTTTATCGATTTTTATTGAATTTGAACTATATTTCAACGTTTTTTGATGGTTCTGAGCCATCAAACACACTTAAAGCATGCAGAATCGACTCAGAATAGGAAAAGGAGACGTTTAGGTCAATTTTATGCATTCTGGCGTTCGTAGATACAAGAAAACTGTTAAAATTCTTCAGAAACGTCACTTTTGAAGTGTTTTCTTGTACTTTTAAGCCAATCAGATACCCTACGGGCTCGGAAAGTGCAACGAAACCATCAAATTTTAGCTAGAAACTGTATTTTTGTCGATTTTTATTGAATTTGAACTATATTTCAACGTTTTTTGATGGTTCTGAGCCACCAAACACACTTAAAGCATGCAGAATCGACTCAGAATAGGAAAAGGAGACGTTTAGGTCAATTTTATGCATTCTGGCGTCCGTAGATACAAGAAAACTGTTAAAATTCTTCAGAAACGTCACTTTTGAAGTGTTTTCTTGTACTTTTAAGCCAATCAGATACCCTACGGGCTCGGAAAGTGCAACGTAACCATCAAATTTTAGCTAGAAACTGTATTTTTGTCGATTTTTATTGAATTTGAACTATATTTCAACGTTTTTTGATGGTTCTGAGCCACCAAACACACTTAAAGCATGCAGAATCGACTCAGAATAGGAAAAGGAGACGTTTAGGTCAATTTTATGCATTCTGGCGTTCGTAGATACAAGAAAACTGTTAAAATTCTTCAGAAACGTCACTTTTGAAGTGTTTTCTTGTACTTTTAAGCCAATCAGACACCCAACGGGCTCGGAAAGTGCAACGAAACCATGAAATTTTAGCTAGAAACTGTATTTTTGTCCATTTTTATTGAATTTGAACTATATTTCAACGTTTTTTGATGGTTCTGAGCCACCAAACACACTTAAAGCATGCAGAATCGACTCAGAATAGGAAAAGGAGACGTTTAGGTCAATTTTATGCATTCTGGCGTTCGTAGATACAAGAAAACTGTTAAAATTCTTCAGAAACGTCACTTTTGAAGTGTTTTCTTGTACTTTTAAGCCAATCAGATACCCTACGGGCTCGGAAAGTGCAACGAAACCATCAAATTTTAGCTAGAAACTGTATTTTTGTTGATTTTTATTGAATTTGAACTATATTTCAACGTTTTTTGATGGTTCTGAGCCACCAAACACACTTAAAGCATGCAGAATCGACTCAGAATAGGAAAAGGAGACGTTTAGGTCAATTTTATGCATTCTGGCGTTCGTAGATACAAGAAAACTGTTAAAATTCTTCAGAAACGTCACTTTTGAAGTGTTTTCTTGTACTTTTAAGCCAATCAGATACCCTACGGGCTCGGAAAGTGCAACGAAACCAGAGATATGGAGAAGGAGAATGAGCTTCGACTTCTGCGCATCGGTACACTATGGGGGCCGCCATTTTATCAGTTAACCTTAAAGTTTTGTTTACCTACGAGGTTACGACGTTGTTGAACCAGTTGTAATTTGGAGTTAAAATTATTACTTAATTTGTTTTACCGTTAGTGTACGTGTGAACGTGCTTGTTAGTGTTAAAGGACATTATTATTGACAACACACATGTCTTGTACAGTTTCTCACTGTAAAAATTGTCAACGATTTCGTTCAGAAGGTGTATCTTTTCATCAGTAAGTTTTCTTCATTATCTTATTAAAATCGAATGCGTAGATAGTTATAATTAATAACAATTGGTTATTGCAAAACTATGTGATCAATATTTATTATATCTGATTTTAGGTTTCCGAAAAATCGAAAACTTTTAAAAATGTGGCTGATTGTTGTGAAAAAAGGTGACAGCTTCAAACTGACTAAGTATAAGCTGGTGTGCTCAGATCATTTCACAACAACTGATTTCAATGTTGTAAATGAGTGAAAACGATTGAAATCGAACGCAATTCCCAGTGTGAATTTAGATGAAAGTCTAGAAGCTTCTTCAACTTCAATGAGTACTGTGAGTGCTACTTCAGCTATATTTGAGAAGAGTCTCCATCGATTATACCTCAAGGTGTAAAGAGGACATTAAGGTTTGAATATTTTATTATATTGAATTTTTTACTACTGTTAATAATTATTATTTAGTGCTGCGCAGAGATACCGTGGAAAAAGCAGTAGCAGTACAAGTGGAAGCAAAAGCAAGAACTCAAAAAGTAGTTCTGACAGGAGGGAAGGTGATAAGCTGGCGTTACATAAAGAAACTACATGAATTACAAAATGATGAATTCCTAAATGTTGCAAACAAGTTGAAAAAGGCACATTTGGAGTGATGGAAACATAAAATGAAAGTAAGTTGTTTTCCTGACAATATTCCTTATTGACAATAATTAAGTTCTATTATAGGTGAGTTTAGCAGCACAAACTCTTAGCAAGAGTTGCGGATGCACTTGAATTTTTAAAAGATCTTGGTATTAGTGACTTTCAAGGTTGTGAAACAACAATAGAATTCATCAGAAGGATAGATTCTTTATTTGATATTCTCAATTCTCGAAGTGTACGTGCTAAGAATTTTAAGGCACCTTTGAGAGAAAACAATGAAGAAATGTGGCGTCCATTTCTCATCGACACCAGTGAGTATCTTCTGAATTTGAAGGATGTCACTGGCGGGCCTTTGTGGTGCACGCCCCGAAAAACGTCAATTCTGGGCTTTGTTATTTCCGCTACGTCGTTCATGGGAATTTTTGATGAATTTGTTAGTAGTAAGAGGTTGAATGACTTGCTAACATAAATGTAGTCAAGATCATCTAGAAATTTTCTTCTGCTCAGTGCGGTAAGCTTTTAAAAAAACAATTGTATTACTTTTTTATGCACTGGAATTACACAAATCTGTATTTATTTTTCTGTTTTCAGATCGAGAAATGGGTGAAACAATAACCCTACTCCTCTACGATTTTGTAAAACTTAGAAGATTGCTTCTATTTACAAACATAACGAGGGAAGGAGGAAATTGTAAAGTGCTTTGCACCACCTGTCTGCTCTCTGTTAACATTGGCCCAAAGCAAAAGAGCACAAATGTTCAACAATCAGTTGACGTGTTTGTCTTGAAAAAATATGATCTCGATATTTTGACTGAAGCACTTGCAGATCATGACTATGACCGTCTAAGTTTATTGGGCTGAGTGAAGTGGCAGAAAACGTGGCATATATTGGTAGCTATGTTGTCAAAATGGTGGTGAAGACGTTTAAGTGCGCAGACTGCATTTCTTCTTGTATTGAAACAAGAAGAAGTGACTTACACTTTTACAGATTATTGGACAAAAAAAAACATGGGTAAAATCAAATACTTACAATAGTTATTTTTTAAGTCTTAACAAAATTTTGATTTTAGGTGGGCTTATTAAACCTTTTGCTGGGGTTGTGAAGACTTGTTGTTACTGTTAATACGAAAAATTTTGCAACTCACCGATAAAATTCCAAGCGATGAACAATTTTTTAAAACTTTCGGCATGCCAGCATTCTTTTTCCTAATTTAGAAGACCCACGCACTCGAGACGGTGGCCATCGATGAAGGCCATTTATATATTCTTATTAAACAAATAATTAATGCCTACATGCGAATAAGAATGTTTCATTTGAGCAAAAGACTTTCATGTCTTGCTCAAGGCACTTCTGTTAGACATGTGTACACATAATTAGTACTGTTTTCGCATCAATAAATATATTGAAGTATAATTATGTTTATTTATTCGTTTAAGGTGAAATATATTTTAGTTGTGATTTATTATTAGGTGATTGTAATTAATGATTTTAAACTTCCCGCCCAATAATGAAGCAATTGTCTAGGGATATCAAGTTCTGTTAGTGATTTGTGATTATGTTGGCAACAGTCAACTGATAAAATGGCTGCTTTCAATTTTAGACCAAGGATTTCGTCTGCGCATGGGGAAGCTCATTCTCCTTCTCCATATCTCTGAACGAAACCATCAAATTTTAGCTAGAAACTGTATTTTTGTCGATTTTTATTGAATTTGAACTATATTTCAACGTTTTTTGATGGTTCTGAGCCACCAAACACACTTAAAGCATGCAGAATCGACTCAGAATAGGAAAAGGAGACGTTTAGGTCAATTTTATGCATTCTGGCGTTCGTAGATACAAGAAAACTGTTAAAATTCTTCAGAAACGTCACTTTTGAAGTGTTTTCTTGTACTTTTAAGCCAATCAGATATCCTACGGGCTCGGAAAGTGCAACGAAACCATGAAATTTTAGCTAGAAACTGTATTTTTGTCGATTTTTATTGAATTTGAACTATATTTCAACGTTTTTTGATGGTTCTGAGCCACCAAACACACTTAAAGCATGCAGAATCGACTCAGAATAGGAAAAGGAGACGTTTAGGTCAATTTTATGCATTCTGGCGTTCGTAGATACAAGAAAACTGTTAAAATTCTTCAGAAACGTCACTTTTGAAGTGTTTTCTTGTACTTTTAAGCCAATCAGATACCCTACGGGCTCGGAAAGTGCAACGAAACCATCAAATTTTAGCTAGAAACTGTATTTTTGTCGATTTTTATTGAATTTGAACTATATTTCAACGTTTTTTGATGGTTCTGAGCCACCAAACACACTTAAAGCATGCAGAATCGACTCAGAATAGGAAAAGGAGACGTTTAGGTCAATTTTATGCATTCTGGCGTTCGTAGATACAAGAAAACTGTTAAAATTCTTCAGAAACGTCACTTTTGAAGTGTTTTCTTGTACTTTTAAGCCAATCAGATACCCTACGGGCTCGGAAAGTGCAACGAAACCATGAAATTTTAGCTAGAAACTGTATTTTTGTTGATTTTTATTGAATTTGAACTATATTTCAACGTTTTTTGATGGTTCTGAGCCACCAAACACACTTAAAGCATGCAGAATCGACTCAGAATAGGAAAAGGAGACGTTTAGGTCAATTTTATGCATTCTGGCGTTCGTAGATACAAGAAAACTGTTAAAATTCTTCAGAAACGTCACTTTTGAAGTGTTTTCTTGTACTTTTAAGCCAATCAGATACCCTACGGGCTCGGAAAGTGCAACGAAACCATCAAATTTTAGCTAGAAACTGTATTTTTGTCGATTTTTATTGAATTTGAACTATATTTCAACGTTTTTTGATGGTTCTGAGCCACCAAACACACTTAAAGCATGCAGAATCGACTCAGAATAGGAAAAGGAGACGTTTAGGTCAATTTTATGCATTCTGGCGTTCGTAGATACAAGAAAACTGTTAAAATTCTTCAGAAACGTCACTTTTGAAGTGTTTTCTTGTACTTTTAAGCCAATCAGATACCCTACGGGCTCGGAAAGTGCAACGAAACCATCAAATTTTAGCTAGAAACTGTATTTTTGTCGATTTTTATTGAATTTGAACTATATTTCAACGTTTTTTGATGGTTCTGAGCCACCAAACACACTTAAAGCATGCAGAATCGACTCAGAATAGGAAAAGGAGACGTTTAGGTCAATTTTATGCATTCTGGCGTTCGTAGATACAAGAAAACTGTTAAAATTCTTCAGAAACGTCACTTTTGAAGTGTTTTCTTGTACTTTTAAGCCAATCAGATACCCTACGGGCTCGGAAAGTGCAACGAAACCATCAAATTTTAGCTAGAAACTGTATTTTTGTCGATTTTTATTGAATTTGAACTATATTTCAACGTTTTTTGATGGTTCGGAGCCACCAAACACACTTAAAGCATGCAGAATCGACTCAGAATAGGAAAAGGAGACGTTTAGGTCAATTTTATGCATTCTGGCGTTCGTAGATACAAGAAAACTGTTAAAATTCTTCAGAAACGTCACTTTTGAAGTGTTTTCTTGTACTTTTAAGCCAATCAGATACCCTACGGGCTCGGAAAGTGCAACGAAACCATCAAATTTTAGCTAGAAACTGTATTTTTGTCGATTTTTATTGAATTTGAACTATATTTCAACGTTTTTTGATGGTTCTGAGCCACCAAACACACTTAAAGCATGCAGAATCGACTCAGAATAGGAAAAGGAGACGTTTAGGTCAATTTTATGCATTCTGGCGTTCGTAGATACAAGAAAACTGTTAAAATTCTTCAGAAACGTCACTTTTGAAGTGTTTTCTTGTACTTTTAAGCCAATCAGATACCCTACGGGCTCGGAAAGTGCAACGAAACCATGAAATTTTAGCTAGAAACTGTATTTTTGTTGATTTTTATTGAATTTGAACTATATTTCAACGTTTTTTGATGGTTCTGAGCCACCAAACACACTTAAAGCATGCAGAATCGACTCAGAATAGGAAAAGGAGACGTTTAGGTCAATTTTATGCATTCTGGCGTTCGTAGATACAAGAAAACTGTTAAAATTCTTCAGAAACGTCACTTTTGAAGTGTTTTCTTGTACTTTTAAGCCAATCAGATACCCTACGGGCTCGGAAAGTGCAACGAAACCATCAAATTTTAGCTAGAAACTGTATTTTTGTCGATTTTTATTGAATTTGAACTATATTTCAACGTTTTTTGATGGTTCTGAGCCACCAAACACACTTAAAGCATGCAGAATCGACTCAGAATAGGAAAAGGAGACGTTTAGGTCAATTTTATGCATTCTGGCGTTCGTAGATACAAGAAAACTGTTAAAATTCTTCAGAAACGTCACTTTTGAAGTGTTTTCTTGTACTTTTAAGCCAATCAGATACCCTACGGGCTCGGAAAGTGCAACGAAACCATCAAATTTTAGCTAGAAACTGTATTTTTGTCGATTTTTATTGAATTTGAACTATATTTCAACGTTTTTTGATGGTTCTGTGCCACCAAACACACTTAAAGCATGCAGAATCGACTCAGAATAGGAAAAGGAGACGTTTAGGTCAATTTTATGCATTCTGGCGTTCGTAGATACAAGAAAACTGTTAAAATTCTTCAGAAACGTCACTTTTGAAGTGTTTTCTTGTACTTTTAAGCCAATCAGATACCCTACGGGCTCGGAAAGTGCAACGAAACCATCAAATTTTAGCTAGAAACTGTATTTTTGTCGATTTTTATTGAATTTGAACTATATTTCAACGTTTTTTGATGGTTCTGAGCCACCAAACACACTTAAAGCATGCAGAATCGACTCAGAATAGGAAAAGGAGACGTTTAGGTCAATTTTATGCATTCTGGCGTTCGCAGATACAAGAAAACTGTTAAAATTCTTCAGAAACGTCACTTTTGAAGTGTTTTCTTGTACTTTTAAGCCAATCAGATATCCTACGGGCTCGGAAAGTGCAACGAAACCATCAAATTATAGCTAGAAACTGTATTTTTGTCGATTTTTATTGAATTTGAACTATATTTCAACGTTTTTTGATGGTTCTGAGCCACCAAACACACTTAAAGCATGCAGAATCGACTCAGAATAGGAAAAGGAGACGTTTAGGTCAATTTTATGCATTCTGGCGTTCGTAGATACAAGAAAACTGTTAAAATTCTTCAGAAACGTCACTTTTGAAGTGTTTTCTTGTACTTTTAAGCCAATCAGATACCCTACGGGCTCGGAAAGTGCAACGAAATCATCAAATTTTAGCTAGAAACTGTATTTTTGTCGATTTTTATTGAATTTGAACTATATTTCAACGTTTTTTGATGGTTCTGAGCCACCAAACACACTTAAAGCATGCAGAATCGACTCAGAATAGGAAAAGGAGACGTTTAGGTCAATTTTATGCATTCTGGCGTTCGTAGATACAAGAAAACTGTTAAAATTCTTCAGAAACGTCACTTTTGAAGTGTTTTCTTGTACTTTTAAGCCAATCAGATACCCTACGGGCTCGGAAAGTGCAACGAAACCATCAAATTTTAGCTAGAAACTGTATTTTTGTCGATTTTTATTGAATTTGAACTATATTTCAACGTTTTTTGATGGTTCTGAGCCACCAAACACACTTAAAGCATGCAGAATCGACTCAGAATAGGAAAAGGAGACGTTTAGGTCAATTTTATGCATTCTGGCGTTCGTAGATACAAGAAAACTGTTAAAATTCTTCAGAAACGTCACTTTTGAAGTGTTTTCTTGTACTTTTAAGCCAATCAGATACCCTACGGGCTCGGAAAGTGCAACGAAACCATCAAATTTTAGCTAGAAACTGTATTTTTGTCTATTTTTATTGAATTTGAACTATATTTCAACGTTTTTTGATGGTTCTGAGCCACCAAACACACTTAAAGCATGCAGAATCGACTCAGAATAGGAAAAGGAGACGTTTAGGTCAATTTTATGCATTCTGGCGTTCGTAGATACAAGAAAACTGTTAAAATTCTTCAGAAACGTCACTTTTGAAGTGTTTTCTTGTACTTTTAAGCCAATCAGATACCCTACGGGCTCGGAAAGTGCAACGAAACCATCAAATTTTAGCTAGAAACTGTATTTTTGTCGATTTTTATTGAATTTGAACTATATTTCAACGTTTTTTGATGGTTCTGAGCCACCAAACACACTTAAAGCATGCAGAATCGACTCAGAATAGGAAAAGGAGACGTTTAGGTCAATTTTATGCATTCTGGCGTTCGTAGATACAAGAAAACTGTTAAAATTCTTCAGAAACGTCACTTTTGAAGTGTTTTCTTGTACTTTTAAGCCAATCAGATAACCTACGGGCTCGGAAAGTGCAACGAAACCATCAAATTTTAGCTAGAAACTGTATTTTTGTCGATTTTTATTGAATTTGAACTATATT